TCTATGTGGCTAATAAATATATATTATGAGGAAATTTGCACATAAAGGCGCACACTATATTATACAAACATCAGATCAAACCAAAGTTCCATGTAGTCCATCATTTAGTTTCTCTCAATGGCCCTCTGGAAGATTCTGCACAGTCTACCAGCAGGGCAATTATCTTCTTTCAGTCTTTCTCCCCAATAACTACTAAATTCAGTTATATAACATGTCCATACTTGAATATTTCCTACAGCCACTATGGATAACAATTCATGAATTTGGCATTATCTTGAAAGGCATGTAAGATGGTGGCCATACTGCAGGATTAGATTCCATGCAATATTTGTGGGTAAGTGCTCTCTTTCTTTTCATCTGTTGCTATTAAGTTTCATTGGGTGACCAAAACTCAAATATGAGTATAACAATTCCTTGTGTAGGTATCTAGATACCAAGGAAGGCAGGTGTGGATTACCTTGGAAATGATTCTAATTTGCAGTTCATTTGAACTTTCTTGCCTCCATATATTCATGGTTAGCATATTTGTTTTTCTACATTTAAAAATGGCTATACACTGCCTGTGTGAACTAGTAAAGCAGTAGAAGAATGTTTCCATGGTGCTTTGTATTGAGGCATTTGTGTGGTCGACCGACCAGATGGGCGGGATATAAATCAAATCAATAAATAAAATAAATAAATACATTTTACTGGTTCTACTAATCAGCCTTTGGCAGGTTTATCAGTTCTACTTCCTCGCTTCTTATTTTTGCTCAGAAACCAACCCAGGCTATTATAGAAGGGCAAAAGCTTAAATGTGTTGGCTTTATAATGGCAGTGATGGCTGAGGACTGTGTACCCTTGCATGTAAAAAACAGATCATGTACTATACATGTGTGCTAACAGAGACATGTGAGGAAAAGAAAGGGGTTGTGCTCAGGACTTTAAAAAAGATACATTTGACAGTGAATGAAAATTGGGACCGAGGTGGATCCCCTGAGTCAAGTAGAATCACTGTATCAGTGCTTCAAATATGTGGAGCTACCTTTTGCTAAGTGATTTCTCCATTCAGTCTAACATTGTCTATTCTAGGTCACTAAGTATCAGAAGAAATCTTGCTAACTTGCTTGTTCTCAATGAGACAGGCCATCTCAACATCTCAAGAGGGTTTATCAAGAATTCAAAACCCCCATGAGATTTCTTGCCTCCAGCGTAAGAATTAAACAACTTTTTTCTGATTGAGTTTTCTACAATATGCAATATGTGTGCAGCTTTTTCTCTTTGTGAAGCAAGCACAGGAGGACTGACTGATTGTTCAGAAAGATGTAAAGAACTTATCTAACAATTTTGATTTTAAAAAAATCTAGACAAGGCAGCAGTTGTCATAGTTTAGATACAAAACTGTTTTCAGAAATGCAAAAATTCACAATAAGATCTCTAGAAAATATCTCACTGTCACTCTGAAGATGTAGCTAGCAATTTGGGCACCCAGGGCAATCAGCACAACCTCCCACCTCCCTAGTGTGTAGGTGCAAACCCAGCCAGAAAAAGGAGAATAATGTGGTACTATTCCTAAAAGAAAATGTGTGCCTTCAAAAAGACATACTTCTAATTTTTTTATTGTAAGGATCACATAGCTTGAGTTCAGGATCTGTATTTTTGTTTTCTAACTTGCTTTTTTACATGTGTCATGCCTTCAGTTTACATTTCTCCTAAATGCTACTAAATGCGAATTAATTTAGATGCAAACCTCCCTGTAAATGTGGATCACACCAAGGTCTCCACTGAATCTGTCTGTGTCAGATGATGACCTGGATTTGTGTCAAGAAAAAGAATAGTGAAAGAAGAGACCCAGCTTCTGAGGGAGAGTTACCCTTTTAGAAGGCAGATGGAACGTGGGGGATAGGAATCATCTGTGACAGTCGAAAATTGACAGTTGGGAAGATCAGAGAGAGGTATATTTGAAGAGCAGCTGCTCATGGAGAGGCAAAAGAGGGAGACTATTAGGATGAAAGAAAAAAACAAAGGAGAGAAAGGAATGATCTAATGCCTTGGAGGTGAGAGAATTGGAAGTACAATTTACACAGAATGGGGACACATCTCATTCCAATGCAATGGGAAATAGAAAAAGGACATGTGGAGTATAGTATTGATAAAGTTCTTCACTGTCCTGCTTTGAACCTATTCACATTTGTTTCTCCTTCTGGTATGGTACCTGGAACAGCACAGAGTACTCCAGAGGAGACCTAACTTGTACAGAGTGACGTGCATATATTGCTTCCCATCACTTTAAATCTGTGGTTGTACAGAGGTAGCTGAGAGCCGTTCACAGATTGCTGCCATGTAGTGGTGAAGGGGCTTGAGTAATTCGGAGAAGCTATGGGCTATGCCGTGCAGGGACACCCAAGAAAGACAGGTTATAGTGGAGAGTTCTGACTAAACACGATCCTCCTGGAGCAGGAACTGGCAAGCCACTCCAGTATCTTTGCCAAGAAAACCCCATGAACAGAAACAAAAGGCTAAAAGATATGAAGCTGGAAGATGAACCACTCAGGTTGGAAGGCATCCAACATGCTACTGAGGAAGAGCAGAGGACAAGGACAAGTAGCTCCAGAGCTAATGGAGTGGCTGGGCCAAAGCCGAAAGGACGCTTAGCTGTGGACGTGCATGGAAGTGGAAGGAAAGTCTTATGCTGCAAAGAAAAATACTACATATGAACCTGGAATGTAATATCTATAAACCTTGATAAGCTAGATGTGGTCAAACAGGAGATGGCAAGAATAGACATTGACATCCTGGGCGTCAGTGAACTAAAATGGACGGGAATGGGTGAATTCAATTCAGATTATTACTGTATCTACTATTGTGGGAAAGAATCCCGTAGAAGAAATGGAATAGCTCTCATAGTCAACAAAAGAGTGGGAAAATCTATATTGGGATAAAATGATAGAATGATTTGAATACAAATCCAAGACATACATCCATTTATTTATTTATTTATTTATTTATTTATTTATTTATTTATTTATTTATT